CATGCACATGCACACGTGCATGCACATGCACATGCACATGCACATGTGCATGATATGTGCATGTGCATGCACATGTCCATGTTTGTGCATGTGCATGTGCATGTGGGAGGACGGATGGGAGGGAGACGGGGGGAGGGAGACAGACGCGGCGGCGGCGGCGGGGAGGAGTGAGGAGGCGGCGAGGGCGGCGAGGGCGAGGGTGCGGCGGTGGCGGCGGTGGCGGCGGTAGCGAGGGCAGTGGGTGGGTGGGTGGGTGGGTGGGGGGGGGGGACCTTGACGTCGCGCGAAGTGCCAAGCTTGTCGGAGCCGTCCGGCGTCGACCCCGCCTTGAGCGACTGCACCTTGTCCTCGAGCGCCTGACCCCCGTGGTGGCGAGGGTGTGGCGGAGGGTTCGGGAGAGAGGGGGGCGGGGCACGTGGTGGCCTTCTCCGCCTCGAGCGCCTGCACCTTGTCCTTGAGCGCCTGGTTCTCGTCCTTGAGCGCCTGGTTCTCGTCCTTGAGCGACTGGATCTCCGCGCGTGGCTCGACCTCGATGTCGGCCCCGCCGTTGATGTTGTCCGTCCCTGCGTGCTCCATCTTCGCGGCGGTGCAGCCCATTTATGCGCGGTGTTCTGCACACGAGGGGAGCGTACACCGTGAGTAGGCTGGGATGCGAACGCGGCCGCATTATGTTGCGGGGGTAGCGGTTTTCGGGAGCGCTGTGGCTCGAGGCCAGCGGCAGCAGCAGTAAAGGCGGCGCTGCGTCGCAGGGCGCGCGCGCTAGGGAATGTGGACGTGGGGCGACTGGGATGGGAGGCAGCAGAGGCAGAGCCGGAGGCGGGAGCGCCGGTGCGGAAGTTCACTCTTTGTTCGACTTTCGAAGGCGATCACCTTTCCAGCGCTTTTTTTTCGGAATGCCCGAGACGCCGTTCCGTGAGTGGTGTGTGCGCCCCCCCCGCAAGGCGCGCGACATTTTTTCGCTCACTCTTGAAGGCGGTCACCTCCGTCACGTCTCTTTTTTCGGAATGCCCGAGACGCCGTTCATGCAAATGTCCATTCTCTGACAAACACTATCCTCACTTATATGGCGAACTATCCCCACCGACGGAGGACAGGCAATCGGAATCGCTTAAGGTTCCCCATGCCAGTTTCGGGGGGCAAACCCCGTTACCCGCTTGTTTTTGTTTGTTGTTTGCTTAGTGTATGTAAACGAAAATAAAGTAGCGCACAATTCGTCTACGTACGGCTTAGTGAGTGGTTGGGGTGGCCTCAGGCATCCCCAAGGGAGCCTCTGCGGTGCCACATAAGCAGCGTGTGAGTGAGTGAGTATTCTTGATACGAAACCACGACGACACACACCAGTCGACTCGCATCGGTTGCCTCCTACCATGAACGGCTTAGTGATTGTCGAGACTTTAAAGTATTCGTTTGAAGATCTCGCAAACGAGACAGACACTACTATGGTCATGGTCACCAGTAGACAACAACACCTCATCGGCTTTGCGGACGACATCTGCCAGAACGTGAACGACTAGCCCTCGCACGCCGTCGCCGCCTACTCCGGACCAAAGGGCCTCCTCGAGGCGCAGAAGAAGGGAGCGAGCGTCTTCGACGGCGTCAGCAAGTCGCTCATCTACTCGCCCGAGGGCGACCTCTCGTGCGCGCCGGGCTGGCTCCGGGGCTCGCCCGCGCACCGCGACAAGGAGGGCAAACCCACGGGGCGAGTGGACTGCTTCAAGGCCGTCGGCACCTTCTTCAGCAACCCTGAAGTCTGCAAAAAGGAGCTCACCGCGCACCTCAGGAAGAAGCTCGCGCCGCTCGACGTCATCGACACGATCGTCGACACTGACTGTGCGTCACGAACACCTCGCAGCTCCGCCTCAAC